TTTTCACAATGTTAGTTGGAAAAGTTGTGGATATTTATTTCGATATTTCGCCACGAAAAGTTCGTATTTTTGAAGGTAAGTTTTGATAATTGTTTTAAATATGAGTCAAATTAACGATTTTTGCTTTATTTGGTGTTTTAACAACGTTTAGTTATATGTTACTCGCAATTTGTATTGACCTGTTTTCCGGGTCAATGCACAAGTGTCAAAAGTAGCTTTCAAAACCGCTGGGGACAATTGGGGTTATAAATGAGTAAATTAAATAAAAGACACGCCATCGTATTCAGGAAGAGTTGTTCTTTCTATGAGAAGTTTAAAAAATGAACTGGCCCCATCAAACTGACGAGTAATCGCGTTTGAAAATGGGGATTTTCGTTATACTATGTCGCCTATCGCGGGAATGTCGACCGCATGGGAATATGGCGCGAGGAAAATTACTGTACGAGTCGTTATTATTTTTGTTTTATTTCGAAGCATGGGCATATATGTCGATCGTTCTTGGGTTTAACTGCTGCATTTAAGTTAAATGCACTGTATTTTATTATTATTTTTATAGAATACGAATATATTTTGTGAAAATGGAATCTGACAATGATGGCAATGTTGTTTATATTGTTGATCTCCAGACTGCTAAGTATGGGAAAACTTGAACTTATGAATTTAATGCTGATTTAGAATTGTTATTGAACAAATTGTTCCTACATCTTGCTTTGGCAAATGGTATAACATCTAATCCAGCTAAGTTGTGCTCATTATGCATTCAACTGATTCAAGCAATGAAACTATTGAACCAGAATAATAAGAGCAACCTGTTTATAAATTTGCCCATACCAACCATTTTAGTAGACATTTTACATGTAAATATTGGTGTATTGGTGACATGAAAATGTTGCAACGAATCTTAAATATTTACTTTATATATTGTAACTTTTAATAAAGCATATTATTAACATCAATTGTGTATGACCACTGCATTTATATGACCACCAAATATCAGGGATAGATCTAGGTGGGGGGGGGGGGTGCACCCCCACCTAGCCCTGGCCAGAGGGTATGCAGGGGGGTATTTTCATGATAAAGCAAAAAATATTAGAGACAAAATGAGTAATTTGAGTAATAACACAATGATAAGTAAACTGTTAACAATAATTACAATACAGTAGTCGAGCAAGACTTTGCTGTAGTCAAGTAAGTTGATGGGTGGGTGGCGCACATGACGGACACAACTCGGCAACAGAGCTGGCAGAGCACCCTCCCTACCACATCATACTGGATCCATCTTTAGATCAGTGATCCATCTGTGCTAAATATACAACAGTTAAAACAGTGTTAAGAACACATGCACAAGGTGGACTATAAGATGAAGTAGGGATTTGATAACTGCAGTAAACAAACACAGCAAATTGAGTTGGAAAATATTTATTTATTTAAAAAAAGTAGTTAGCAATACGCCGAAATGAGCGCAAAACACCCCCCATACTTCATGTAACACAAAATATAATGTCTTCAGCCCCTTTAGCCCCTTTGACCCCTTTAGTCCCTTCAGCCTGTCCTAAAAATTTTTAAAAAAATATATATTTTTTTTTCAAAGTTTTCCAAAAGCCCCTTCAGCCCCTTCGATAACTCTTCCCAGATCTTTTCAAAAAAAAACTTTTCAAAGTTTTTCCCGTAATCTTTTCAGAGTCTTTAAATAGTTATATAAACGCCGAAACGAGCGTAGCCTTGTTCCCGCCCGGTTCCATTTTTACCCTTCGTCCGGAAGTGGTATATAAATTGAAAAAAAAAAATTTTCCCTTTTTTTTCAATTTATACAAGTAATAAAACAAGTATAAAAAGAACTACTCGTCAGAATTTTTTCATTTCCATTTCCTAACCCAATCGGGGTTAGGAATTTTTTTTTTTAAATAAAGCGAAATGAAAAATACGAGTAGTTCGGTTTTGGAAAGCACATTGGATTTTATCGAGCGGAAGAGAGCAGAGGCTCTTCGTCGTTTAAGGGAAGGAAAATCCTCGGAAACGGAGGGGGATATTAACGACCGTTTCGACGAGTATGCTCGAAGCGAAAGGAGAAAAGCCATCGGAAAGGGTATCATCAGGTCTGCGGCAAAAAGATTTCGCGATCGTCGCGAGCAGACCGCAAAGTACGAAAGGGCGGAAATCCGTAATCAAAAAAGATGGGAAAAAGAGATTTTAGAGGAGGAACGGCGTCGCGAGAAAGCGAGTGTATCGCGGGAAGCAAAAAAGGAGTTGCAGAGACTTCGTCGCAACGCAAAGGCACGCGAAAAGTATCGTGCGGAAAATCTTCGTATCGCTTCGGGAAAATGGAAGGGTAAGAAGAAATTGGGAAAAATACAACTGAAGCTCGGTGACAAACTTAAGAGGATTTGGGAGTCCGAAAAGGATTTTACACCCATGTTGGAAAACAACGCCATCGATAATAGGGTAAAAAAGTACACGATTACTCCGGAAGGAAGATACGATCCACCCTTCTTTTTGGAAAGGGTTACGGATGCGGTGATCAGACTTATCCGATCGACGAAGGGGTCTAAGAACGTAAGGTTGATTCTAACATGTATCATGGTACGGAAGACGAAGGACGGCAACGAAGAGAGGAGGACGGCCTTTTTCCGTTCGAAGAACCACAAGTTGCATGGTACGGAAGGAACGATCGATGCCGTCGAAGAGATGAAGGGAAAAATTCTAAAATCTTTTTCGGAATATCAGAAGGAGGGAAGTTCGTGGATGTTGTTTCGTCTGATAAAGTTGGATATTTTTATCGAAGGATACGATCCGGTTCGCGGTGCAAAGCATGAAAAATTACCGAAGGGATTGGCAAGAGGTTCGATCGTCAACATGTTGAACAAGAACGACGACGAATGTTTCAAGTGGGCGGTAACGCGTGCGTTGAATCCGGTTGAGAAAGATCCCGGTAGAATTTCGAAACTTCTCCGTAAACAATCCGAAGAGTTAAATTGGGAGGGATTGAAATTTCCGTTGAAAGTGTGTGACGTTGAAAAATTCGAAAAGCTGAATCCTGGAATTACAGTCAGCGTATTTGGAATAGACGAAAGTAAGACAATTTACGCTTTGAAAGTATCGAAAAGACGGAATTCCGTTCGTCTTTTCTTTTGGGAAAATCATTACGGAGTTGTGAAAAGTATGTCTGGACTTCTTAGCAATCAACTTAGTAACCACCAGCATCGAAAATACATTTGCGATCGATGTCGGAACGGATTTGGTACCGAAAAGTTACTAACGGACCACGAACCGTTATGTTACGATCACGAAGGTCAGACTCAAAAATATCCGAAACCGGGTACGAAAATAAGATTCCGCAACTATCAAAAGATGCAGGAATTTCCAATTTACATAGTCGGTGATTTCGAATGTTTTTTGGAACCGTTGGACGTGAAGAAGATGAGTAACGAAGGGACGCTTCAGTACCAGAAGCATAATCCTAGCGGGTTCGGTTACTACGTGAATTGTTTCGACGATAGTTTGTACAAGTCCAAGTACGTACATTACACCCAGCAGTACGAGGACGAAGACGTTACTTTGACATTTTGTAAGTATGTTTTGTCGGATATGATTGAAATTTATGAAAGATTTAAGGAACCGGCTCCTTTAAAAATGACCGAGGAGGACGAAAAAGATTTTGAAAAATCTATCCGGTGTAACGCGTGTCGAAGGATATTTGAGGTGAAGAGGGACGAGGAAGAAGAGGGAAAACAGAAAAAAGTAAGGGATCACTGCCACTATTCGGGTCGTTATCGCGGCGCGGCATGTTGTAAGTGTAATTCGAGGATGAGACAACCAAGATTTATCCCGTTTTCATTTCATAATTTGGAATGTTACGACGCTCATCTTTTTATCGTGAATCTGGCGTTACTCGGGGGTGGAATAGACTGTATTCCAAAAACGAAAGAAAGATACATTTCGTTCTCGAAAGGTATACGCGTCGACTCGTATATAGACGAGGAAGGTAAATCCGTGGGTATCTATCGGGAGTTACGGTTTTTGGACTCTTTAAAATTCAGACCGGCTTCGCTGAATAAGCTTGCAAAAGGGTTGGGAAAGGACCAGTTTAAGAATTTGGAAGGAGCGACTTTGGATTACACTGTCGAACAGCGTAAAGTATTAAAGTTGAAGGGTGTGTATCCGTACGAGTATATGGATGGATTTTCCAGATTGAACGAGACGTGTCTTCCTCCGAAAGAGAAATTTTATAGCAGTTTGTCGGAATCACATATTACCGACGAGGAGTACGAGCGTGCACAATACGTGTGGAAATTATTCGGAATGAAAACCATGCGTGATTACCACGACGTCTATTTAAAAACGGACGTTCTTCTTTTGGCAGACGTGATGGATGATTTTCGGAAGAACAGTAGTAAGGATTACAAACCTCTGTGGTATTACACGTCTCCGTCTTTAACGTGGGACGCGTGTTTAAAAAAGACGGGGATCGTTCTCGACTGCATATCCGACCCGACGATGTATAATTTTTTCGAAGAGTCGTGTCGCGGTGGAATCAGTACAGTTCTGAAAAGGTTTGCCGTCGCCGACAACAAGTACATCGGTATTTCGAAAATTCCGGAATCGGTCATTCGATGGTTGAAAGATCTGAACGTCACCTTTCAAAACAATCCAAAGTATTGGGAAAAGATCATGGACGCCTTCGAAAGGAAATTAGAAATTTTACTAAGAAATTATAGCGACGAGGACGTACCTGAATAAGAATTTGACGCGGTGGGTAACGACCCTTTGTCGCGACACCGACGTGAAATCTACGTTCGTCACCTACGTCGACGCGAATAACTTGTACGGATATGCAATGTCGGAACCGCTTCCCACCGGTGAGTTTCGATGGATGAATTGCGACGAACTGACGCGTTGGATGTTCTTACCGGAAGGAGTCGGTTGTACGTTGGAAGTGGACTTGGAGTATCCGACGGATCTTCACGACGAACACAACTATTATCCGTTTGCTGCCGAAAATATCCGTATCGGAAAGGTGATGAAACTTACACCGAACCTACGGAATAAGAAGAAGATGGTCGTTCATCATTCCTCCCTGAAACAGTGTTTGAAACACGGATTGAAGTTGACGAAGATTTATCGCGGCGTGATGTATCTGGAAAGGGATTGGATGAAAAGTTACATCGCGTTGAACACGAGACTTCGTACGAAGGCCAAGACGAATTCCGAGAAGGATTTTCACAAGTCGATGAATAATTCGTTGTTCGGAAAGACGATCGAAAACGTTCGGAAGAGGCTTAACCTGAAACTGGTAAGCAATGGTAAGAAACTGAACGGATTATTACGGAAGAGTTATTTTAAATCCGCGACGATCTTTTCGAACAGCTTGGTTGCAGTTCACATGTTAAAGATCCGCGTGTATCTGAACAAACCCGTTTACCTCGGCGCGAGTATTTTGGATATCAGCAAGACTTTGATGTACAATTTTTTTTACGACTATCTGAAACCCAAATTCGGAAAAAATGTGGAATTGTTGTACACGGATACGGATTCGTTCATGTTGGAAGTGAATACCAACGATATTTACAAGGATATTTCGAACGACGTCGAAAGATGGTTTGACACGAGTAATTTTCCCGAGTCTCATCCTTCCGGAATTCCGTGTGGAAAGAACGAAAAGGTTTTGGGAATGATGAAGTTCGAGACGGGAGCAAAACAGGTGACCGAATATATCGGACTACGCTCGAAATGTTATTCGTACCTTACGGAAGACAACGACGGTTGTGAAAAGAAGTGTAAGGGTGTAAGAGGGCCGGCACTCCGCAAGAAGATCCGACACGAAGATTACAAGAGGTGTAACTTTCGGGACGAAACTTATTCGATAAGTATGAACAGTATTCGAAGTCGCGGTCATTACATTCATACGGAAAACGTGACAAAAGTAGCGTTGTCTGCCAACGACGACAAGCGTTACATTTTTAAGGATAGGATTCACACGTTGGCGTTGGTACATAAAGACGTTCCGCTCGGTGAAAAGGAAATTGCTCCCCGAATCTACAATTATCCTCGCGGACCACCCATTCCGGAAAAACCAAAGGGACTTACGCTTGGAATGACGAGAAAAGACAAACCGAATCCCTGCACTATTCCATAAGTATTTTTAAATAAGACTTGATAAAATCTTTCAACAGAATTCAAGACTATTCTAGAGTTCCTTGATAGAAACTTTCAACAAAATTCGAGACTGTTCTGAAGCTTCTTGCAAGCAAGTCCTGGTAAGACCTTTCGACAGAATTCAAGACTGTTTTGTAAGATCTCGTGAGTAAAACTTTAGTAAATTTTACATCTATCCTGTAAAGTCTTGCAAGTAAATTTTAAACAAAGTTAAACAAAATTTAAGTATTTTCTTTACATACAATAAAGAAAATGACAGAACCGATAGTTAATCCAACGGAAACGGTTACCAAACCTTTAGACCAACCGAAAAAAGTGAAAGATCCACGTAGAGTCGAAGCGGGAAAAAGATTAGCAAAGATCAGTCAACAGGCAAAAGCCGCGAAAAAAGCAAAGGCAGAGGAAGATTTGAAAACAGAAGTCCGCGAAGAATGTATGACGGACGGAGGATGGATTTCCGTCGAAAGATTATGTTTGGTTTTAGGCGTGGGAATCGGGTTGGGATCATTGTATTTAACGTGGCGTCGCGAAAAAAGTCCCGTGGGACAAGTGAATGAAATTGTGGATAATAATGCGAACAATGATGTGGAAAAAGATCCTCCGAAAGAACCTTTTGATGACTTGTTTGACTGAAACCGTAGTGAAACACCCACCTTCCCGTAATGCATTCCGGTCATTTCTTAACGTCTTATAAGAAACTTTATACGATAATAAAAGATGAGTATAGAGTTATTTACCATTCCGGAACTATTAGGAAACGGGAAAATTGCTACCGTTAAACTGAACGATGGGACAATTTATTTCTTAGCGAGGGAGATAGCATCGGCACTTGGATATATAAACTTGAGCGATGCAATTACCAAACATACGGACGAAAAACAAGGATCAAGTTTATGGATTTGAAACTTATCGCGAAACGCGATAACTTAGACCTTCCGGGTGGTGTGATATCTAGTACTGTATTTATTAACGAATATGGTATTTACGATCTTGTATTAGGTTCCAGACTACCCGCCGCAAAAGAATTTAAGTGGTGGGTCATTAGCGACGTTCTTCCCTCCATCCGGAAAACTAGAAAGTATGCGCTATCCGGAGCAATGCCAGCTATAGATAACGTAAAGGACGATGAATTGCGACAACTTTCATGTTCTGAACATCCGGAAGCACGTTGTAAACTCGTTCATAAGAGTAACATCGTAAAAGATCCGGGTGCAATTTTACGTGGGAAAAAAGGCGGATTAGCTGCTCAGGAAAAAATTAGAGAGACTAGAAAAACAGCACGTGAAAGGGGAATGAAAATTCTAGAACTTGAAGCCGAACGAGATGAACTGGAAGAAGAAGTGGATGAAAGAGACGAAAGGATTTGTAGGCTCAAGGAAGAGAATGAAAGACTTACAGAAAAAGTGACGAATTTACTTACCGAGAACGAAAGACTTTGGCTCGAAAATAAAAAACTTATGAAAGAATAAAAAATTTTTATTTCTTCCTCCCAAGAAATAAAAGAATGTCTGACACAACTAAAAAAGAACTCGTTCAGGACTTATACGATGCGGCGCTTCTAACGTCCGGTGTCGTTGGAATTTCGTATGCCTCTAAAATGATTGCGGGGAAAAATTTGGGCGCACCGATGACGTTGGAAGGAGCATTAAAATTAGGCGTGGCCGTGGCGGGAAGTTCATTTGCCGTTGCATATCTCAAAGACAAGGGCTACGTTCCCAAAACAATCGGTCAATAATAAACTATGACGACAAATTTAGTAGTCGGTGGACTCTTTAATGCGGTTGCTTTCGCAGGGGCAGGATTTTTGTTTTCTCACTTAAATCAAAACGGGTACAAAGAAGAAGTTCGGAGACATAATCGTGCGTTGGAAGAATTAGCGACGGCGAAAGAAAAATTCTACGAATCCGAAGTCAAAAGACGGAATCAGGAATTACGACGACGGCAGGAAATCTTAGATGCGAATCATGATATCGAAGAGACGAATAAAGCGTTGGACGAATTAAGAAATTTTAACAGACGTCAAGATATGAATGCATTAGATCGTAAACCTAAATTCGAAGATTATTATCAACCGTCGGATGAGATGCAGAAATATTTAACGATGACGGTTGGAATTTTAGGAGTGGGTGGCGGTTATTTACTGACGCGAATTTTTTCACCAGCAAACATTTTAGGTTCGTTGATTTAGTCCGAACGGTTGCTTTTCCATCCGCACCGATATTTCTAAACTTTAATCCGTAGATAGTGATTTTCTGTCCCATGTAAAAGAATGTAAACGTCGTACGGACGATACCACCTTGCTGTGTTTCGGTAAATACGATGACGTTTCCAGTCTGTCCGTTGCGAAACCCGTACGCGGCAGATTGAGTTTCCTGGTTGATCTGTACACCACCGACTCTAAAAATAATAAACTTTGCATTCTCCTGATCGGCTGTGGAAATAGTACCGGTTTCGAGAAATCCCGGTGGTAATCCATTAAGTTGTGTAAGATCGTACTGGACGGGTGGATTTCTTCCGACTTCGCTTAGATCGATCAATTCGGTTTTATTCTTTTGAATCTCGGCCGTATTGTCTTGCTGTTTTTTTTCGATCTCCATCACTTTTTTCTTCAGATCTTCGGATTCGTCAAAGAAGTCGTATCCCATAAGTATACTCATTTTATTATTTCCATAGAAAGTAAGCTGCTCCCATCGAAACAACGGTTACAATTCCCAAAGTGGCTGGACTTTGTGAATTTTTTATGAAATCCTTATCTGTCACAGAACCTGCCGGTTGTTTCATAGGACTTGTCGATGTTTTTGCAGGACTTGTCGGTTTCACAGGATTTTTCACGGGACTTGCTGGTTTTTTCACAGGACATATTACAGAATTTTTCACAGGATTTTTCACGGGACTTGCTGGTTTTTTCACAGGAGTCTCTGTAAAATTCACCTTGTCATTTTTTCCAAAACTCATTCCGCTTTTAGCCAACGTTAAAATATTGTTGTAACCTTTCAGAGGTTCTTGTAAAATCCGCATGTCGGATGGAATTAAAATCAAACCTGGCATGATCGCAAAATTTAACACGACGTTCGTATCTGCGATCGCCGTACGCATGTTACGAATGATTGTCGTCACGTCACTTTGTACGATACTATCTTTCAAAACTTTTCGAAACACGTCTTGCGTCTGTAAACTTTTTGCACCTTGCCCCGTAATACTCCATCGGGTTTTTGCATGCGATCCTAATACCGCGTAGACGTAAACTTCGAGACTCTGTTGAAATAACCGTTGTCCTAACTTCGTCAATCCACGCGATGTTTTTGGAATGAAAAT